GGGGGGGAGGGGCTCCCCGTGAGTCACAGGTCACCGCGGCTGCGGCCAAGCTTGCACGCCGCTCAGAGCGCATCGCATGCGCACCCCACCTAACACGTCTTTTGTTTCTGTCCACAGCTACGAGACGGGCAACGAGATCGTGGCCGAGGAGGAGGGCTACCTGAAGAACGCCGGCAAGGAGGGCGAGGAGGCGCAGACGGCCAAGGGGCGGTACGCGTACACGGCGCCCGACGGCACGCGCATCGAGCTCACCTACATCGCCGACGAGAACGGCTTCCAGCCCCAGGGCGCCCACCTGCCCACGCCGCCGCCCATCCCGCCCGCGATCCAGCGCGCCCTGGACTGGATCGCCGCGCACCCCGAGCAGGACAAGGAGGGCGCCGGGTCGGCCCCAGCCCCTGCGGCGGCCCCCGCCCCCGTGCAACCTGCAACCTCTTCGCCAGCCGAGACTGCGGACCCCACGGCGGCCGCCGCCTCCTCCAGCGCTGCCACCACCGCCACACCAGCCCCTGCCAGGAGGAGGAGATAGCCTAAGGAAACAGTACAACCCTATAGTTTATATGTCTCGCGTTTGATTTACCACAAGTTGTTTTATGAAATGAACTGACAAAAGTGTTTCCATTTTTAATTTTGTTTTTAGCATTGGGGAAATCCGGGATTCGCTTGAAATCAGAACGAATTGGGTTTATGATGTTGTAAAATCTTTTCTGTGAAGATTTCCTTATCGGAGTCACCAATGTGAGAGGGGCTTTTTGGGTGAAGCACTTCCGCCGTTGGGAGGCAAAGGACAGTATTCGATTTAATAGGCCTTGGAAAGAAGACGCCAGGAAGAGAGACCATAAAGTCCCACAGCTGTTTGTTGCAGTGAAATTACCATTTTTCATTATGAAACGTAAGCGCGAAACTCGGGGTGCCGAGTTTTCGGTAAACATAAGTTACCATTTTGAGCTAAGTCATGTGCGTCGGCCGGTGTGTTCTGTCGTTGTTTTTATTGTCAGTGACATCAATGTTTTTTGTTATTTTAGCATAAGAATGAATAAAACGTAATTAAAAACAGCTCGACAACTCTTGCTTCCACATTCCTATTCAGCTGTTGCAACAACGCCTCTATGACATCACCGTCATCTGTGCGAAATGGGAAATGGATGGATGGATGGATCGATGGATGGATGGATGGATGGATGAGTGAAACCAATTCCCCGTCAAAGATTTACGAGGTGTGGATTTCACACAAGCGGCTCCACGACTTTACGAGCCTGTTCAAAATAATATTGGCTGGCTTGCCCCGGGCCATTCAGCGGCAGCCAACAAGGCGCGACGCCCACGCGCCATCCTTTTTTTTCTTTTTCCTCCTCTTCTTCTTCTGAAAGAGCTTGGCTGACACTAGTAATAATGGCTCAGGTTGCCGAATTCGGAGGCATTATTTCCAAGGCCAACGGTCGTGTGAGGGCGGCGGCAGCAGGGTGCACTGTGTGTCCCCCGCGACCGACAGATGGCTGCCCAGAGCGAAAGACGGATGGGTTGGGCCCGACGGGGTCGCGCAGCTGACCGTGCAAACAGTGGGGTGCCGCGGCCGGGCCCGGGCCGGGCAGCCAGCTGCCGCCCGTCGTCGTCTAGCGGGCCTAGCAGGCGCATACGACACGGCAACCCCACTTACCTTCGCTTGGAGGCCAGGTCTCTAACCCCCCGTGCACTAAAACCAACCGCCGACCGCCGCCATTTATGATGTCAAAATTTGAGCCCATTACCATATATGGCTTTTCAAAATAAAGATATTCTAGCATTTACCTTCATCGTAGAATTCTTCCCGCAAAGATGGGCTGGAGAGGGACGACTCATTCTAGCAAAATAATGTCTCACAATCAAGTTACGTTCAACCCGTTCCTCTACTTACCGGCACTGCGCGTGCACGGCGATGGCGTGGTCGGCACACCCCAGGAAGCCAGACGTCGTCTTCCTGGACGATTTACTCCTGGCGGGAAAGAAGTCGTTGGGAGAGGGAGAGACGCGAGCAGCTAGGGTGGGGACGAGGGTGCTTGCCCCTTCGTCGCGGAGGTCAAGGTCATTGCGCAGAAGGCCCAAACAAAAACCACCGCCATATCTTTTCCTTTGTGACTCTAAATAAACAAAGCATTCTCTAACCCCAAAATTTATTGATTTAAGCGACACTGGAAATGCAAGTGTGTGAATGTCGCTCACCTGCAGGTGAGCGACATTCCATTCGTACACTTAGGGGGGTAAAGGTGTGAAAAAATTCACACGTTTAC